AATATTTCCCTCCAACACCATAAACTCAAATGCATCAATTCTTCTGTGGTCTTCCTTATTCACTGTCCAACTTTTGCACGCATATGTGGTTATTGAAAATACCATGGTTTGTGTCAGGTGCACCTTAGTCCTCAAACTGACATCTTTGCTCTTTAGCACTTTAAAATAAAGTCTTGTACAGCAGATTGGACCAATGCAATATGTCATTTGATTGCTTGACTGCTGTTTCCATGAGTGTTGGTGGTTGATCTAAGCAAAATGAAGTCATTCACAACTTCAGTCTTTTCTCCATTTATATGGATGTTGTTTATTGGTCCAGTGGTGAGGATGTTTGTTGGCTTTACGTTGAGGTACAACCCATACTGAAGGTGTGCACCTCTTCAATAGAGACTGGAAAATAATCCGTAATAATAGTTCTCTGGGCTCTAGGAACCAGCTTTAACTTTATCCCAGGGAAACCATGCCCTCTCAGCACTACACTTTAACCTCTCAGGCAATAGGGCTGATAGCAAAGGTCCTGGCTATGGGGACTCCATTGTGGCAAACAGTGCTCTCTTCAGGACTTGTACTGGGAAAAATTGCCAATAACTCTCTGGAGTTTCCCCTTTCAGCAAATGCTTCCTAATGTGTCACTTAGGAAGAGCAGTGTGGTATAGTGGCTCATCCTTAGACAGGGAGTGGGTTAGGTTCCTGACTTGCTGTATAACTTTTGGTATTGCTTATCTCAACTGTGAAATGAGTAGGTATAAAAGGGCTTCATAATACAGATGTACAAAATACAGATCTGAGCTGCAGACCTACCTAAAAACCACTCTGTTGTCTTGATTCAGATCAAAAGTATTCTTGAGAGGTATAGCTTTCCTTGTGGAGAAAGCCATTCTGTTGTTTTATTCCTAACAGAAATGCTGCTCGTTGTAGCAGAATTGAAAAGGCTCTTGTCTCTGTAGGACATATCAAATTTAGATGGCTGAGATCTCTAAAGATGGAACCTAAGAATCTGCATTTCAGTCAACAGCCCAGGGTGACTCTGATGTAACCAGCCATTCAGTATTTGGGAACCATTCATCTGAGCCATGATCCTTGCTTATCTTCAGAAGTTTCCAGGGTTGCCTAGAACAGGACTAGGCAATGTAGATTTTCATGGCAGCTTACCTGATCTGAGTATCTGCCTATGTGATGTACTGTGCTCAACATTATGTATATATACAGGTAAACAAAACCAACAACCCTCATGGACCATGTCTGATTCGTAACCTATTTCTGGAAATAAATAAATAACAGATGCTCATTTTATTACACATTTTGTGTGGCTGCCCATATATTACAGTATCAGAGTTGAATAGTTAACATTTTTCAAATGCCACCGTATGGATGGACTGGGCTACAAAGCTTGAAATATTTGTTATCTGACCATTTATAGTAAAAGTTTACCAACTCTAGAATCAGTGATGGACCCCAAGCCAGTTTGCCTGCCCCATGGTCCAGCTCAGTATTGACCAACACAATTCTCTATGGTGTTGAAAAGATTTTATTTACTATTAATTTAAATATTAATAGTCACTGGTTAGTGGCTGCCATTTTGGATAATTCTGGTAAGTTGTCATTATTATTTGCCTAGTCAACTTTCAGGTCTCTGCTCAAATACCACTTCCTCAGAAAAGCTTATTTCCATCTTTGTCAGATGCTCCCAGATTTTCTCACAGAATGTGCCAAAATGTTTTCTTTAGAAATCTGTTGTTGTAATATATGACATCAAGCCCTCTGACTGTATAAAAACTCATGAGGACAGATACCATGTCTTGTTGGTTTTGTCATACCACTCCTGCTTCACAGGTGTTCAAATGCTGAAATACGAGGGACAGTGAGATTACAGAATGTGGGTTTACCCCAGTTTACACACAGACAGCTGCTGCTGTGTTCATCTCTTTTTCCTCTATCTGTGGTTTTGGGGCCAGCAGCCTTCTCCCTAGACAAGCTGGAGCAGGTCCAAGGAAGAGCAACTACGTTGATGAAACAACTGTATACTTTGAGACACAGTTGTCATAGTTGATGTAATTATGCGCTGGAGTATAGGCTGGACTGAAGGGGTCTTAAAATAGAGTTCACTTCTGCTTTGAAAGATGATACATATGTAAGTACATCATGTGAAAATCTCTTCCACAAACTGGATCAGTATTATCTTCTGAAAGTGATCAAAATATTAGAATTCATGTAAATAATCAAATAAACTTGATTATAGTATCTCTACCGACTCGATGGCACTTAACAACAACAACAACCACCTATATGTTAATGGAACTTCATAAAATGGCATTTATTACTTATTGTTAAGTGCCATCGGGTCAGTTCCAACTCATAATGACCTTGTATATGGTTTCCGAGGAGCAGCTGGTGGGTTTGAACTACCAATCTTGTGATTGTAATCCAGTGTTGATCCTACAGCGCCATACCAGGAGTCCTTATCTCTTATGGTAGCATACCTTTTAACATGTTTTTAAACAACAATTGTTTAAGTTGAGTTTATTGGGCAGCATTGAGGAACTTCATGAGTCCCCTCAGGATCAAAAATCCTAAATATGTTAATTGGAAGTTTTGGCTTTGAACTTTTGTTACTTCTGGGTTAAATTCATTTTAAAAACACACTCTCAGTATGGGTTGGCATATTTATCTGTTACATGTTTTCAGATTATTGTTTGCTCTAGCAGAAAACCCAGGGTCACACATTTAATAAGTAACAGAGCAGACATCCAAATCAAGACCTTTCCTGCTCCAGAGCCAATCTTTCTCCTTCGCCTGCTGTCTTTTTTGTTGGTGGTGTTGGTCATTGGTTTTCAGCTGGGATCATTTAAAGAGTACTTCTGTTCATAAATAACATCAGATTTCAATCTGGAGTTTTATAATTCCAGTCTGAATTTGTTCACCTACTTTCTGTTTGATTGCACTAATTGTTCCTTACTTAGAGTTTATTGTGAGAAATTGGCTCTAAGGATAATTAACTTTTATCTCCTTAGAATTTTTCCTTGATTTCAAAATCTTTCTGAATGCAAACGTTGCTTGTTTCTATACTGCTATGAAGTGATTTTGTTGGTTTTTTTCTGTATATTTTAACTCCAAATCATTATTTTATTGTTTGCAGGCGATTCACTTTTATACACAGTATGATCCATTATTTTGGTTTACTTGTTTTTCTGGATTGGCTAGCCAATAAATAATTTCTTCTAATTTTGTAATTTTCTTCTGTTGTTTCAGATTTGATGGAAACTTTAACACCAACGTGTCTAGAACAATCAGCTGTGATCGACTGTCTAATACTGTTAATAGTCGGGCCTTCAATCCTGGACGAGACTTAAATTCAGGTCAGTAATCTGTTGATTTTATAAAAAAAGAACTATATTTCATCCTTTCCAAGTTGAATAAATGCATATGGTGCTGTAAGATAACCACTGGACTGCTAACCACATAATCTGTGGTTCAAACCCACAAGCTGTTAGCTGGAAGCTCTCTACAGGATCTCTTTGAGTTGGAACCAACTCAGTGTTACTTAACAAAACAGTTTCAGAAGGAGCCTTTGTGGTAGAGTGATTAAGTGCTAACTGAAAGGTCAGTGGTTTGAACCCACCAACTGCTCTACAGGAAATAAAAATGTAGTAGCCTGATTGCATACAGCTTTACAGCTTCAGAAGCTCTATAGGACAGTTTTACTCTTTACTACATGGTCAATCTCAGTGGCAATGGATTTTATTGCTTCAGACTTTTTTTAATCTAGAAAATAAAATTATATACTCAAAATTGAATATTTCTTGTTGGAAAATTGACCCTCTAAAGAGGAAGAGAAAGAAAAAAGCACAACTCACATTTACTAAATATTGTATTATTACTAGCTATATAAATTGCCATGCCTAACAAGTTGTTTGGCTTTTAAATCTAGCAATCCAAATCAACTATACAAAAAAAAATACTAAAGGAATTTCTTTGGACTAAGAGCCAACTACAGCAGACAACAACCAGAGGTTGACATACATGGCAACACCACCCAGAATTCAGTCCAGATATGGAAGGGTCCAGAGTAGAAAAAACTGTTAATTGTAAGATGCCATTGAGTTGATACTGACTTATAGCGACCTTATGTACAACAGAATGAAACACTGCCTCGTCCTGCTCTAGTCTCACAATCATTGCTATGCTTGAGCCCATTGCTGCTGCCACAATGCCAATCCATCTCATTGAGGATTTTCTTCTTTTTTGGTGACCCTCCACTTTACCAAGCAAGAATAAACAAAAAAACAAAACTGACTTTGCGGTTCAAACTGACGTTGGTGTCATTAACCTACAGCACCACACCACCCATTACATTGTTGTTGTAGCTGTTAAGTGCCATCAAGTCAGTTCCAACACATAGAACTCCTATATAGGGTTTCCAAGGAGCAACGGGTGAGCTCAAAACGCCAACCTTGTGGTTCATACTGACTTTGCAGTCCAGCGCATTAACCCATAATTGCATACCAGAAGTCTGCCCATCACATTAGGGGTGAGTTAATTAAATGGTTGACCAAATATAGAAGGCTACTTTTTAAGCTGATAATTTGGTATGGCCTATGAATTAAATTACAAATATCTAAATAACCCTTGGCAGAAAGAAAATGCTTCCCCACCCCTGCAGAATGGCAGTATATATGGAATAAAACTCAAAATTATGTATTTAAAAAAAAACCAAAAACTGACTGGACTTACTGGTTAGAAAGAAACTGGAGGAGCCTGAGACTATGACCCCCACCACAATTCAGGTTTGGACAGGGACTCACCTTCATGACCCAGCTTTCAGCCAAGCAGTAGATAGGCATATAGGAAGAACAACAGTACTTATAAGACATGCTCACTATGAATGATAGAATGATCAGTCTGTAAATCACTCAATTCACAATAAAATGTTTAAAAAAATTTTACTTGATATGACTTTTCTATCCAAAGGCTTCTTAATCCCACCAAGTAATTGGATGCAACCGTGCAATAAAGGTGTACATGATCTAAGGCTGAGAGTGGTTAGTTTTGCCATCCCACTAGGTTTAAAGGGAACTATTTCAGAAGGAGGAACAGACGATCCAAGGTTAACTGAGGAAGAAGGACATGAGTGAAGTGTAAAATCCGTACTTAAGAAAAGTGGCAGTGGCAGAGGTGGTGACATGGAGCAGCTGGCGGTATCTAGGCCTGTGGACTGAGTAAAGCTGTGGATCATTGGGCAGGAGCCTGGCTTGCAGACTGTGCCCTTTGGACATTTCCAGATGGACTAAAGGAGCTTGGTAACACTTACCCAAGCAGAGCAGAGACCACATGACCACATGGCTGAGCCACTGAAGACAAGAGTGAGGAGTGGTCTAGACGGGTCTGGTGAAAAGAGATGGGCATAAGATTCTTAGGATTCAATCGTGAGTAATTATCATGACTAATTGTGACTGTCACAGCGGTAAAGGTAGAAGTTCTGTAACAAAAAGGCAGAAGTAGATAATCATACAATCCAGGAACAGAGGACCCTAGGACCATCAAGGGAGAAGAGCACGAGCAGAATGTGGGACCCCATCCAGAGAAGCAGCAACACCAGAGATGGAGACAGAGATGAGGACATGGAAAAATAGAGCATCTGAGGACTCTAGACTCATGGAAAGAGAAAGGCTGTGTGCTGGTAGCCAAGTGCTAGTGGCCAGGAGGCAGGCTTGCAGAATGTGCCCTTTGGTTGTTTAAAGGATTATATATTCCTGACTGTTTTTGTGACATCCAAAAAATAAATAAATAAATAAAACAGAGAGAATAGAAGCAAATACTGTTGAATGATGATGCACAGAGGAGATTGTAAGCATTGCAATGAAACAATAATGTTCTCCCATGTAAACTATCACTCAGTTCACAATAAAACAAAACGAGTGAGGATTGCCTATGTTATGGCAGACAAGAGGCATTCTTGACTAGATACCTACTTCTTCCTGAGTTGTATTTCGATCCTGAATTGTACTGTGTTCATTTCCCTAACAAACCCCATAATCATTAGTACTACTGTAAGTTCTTTATGACCAGTGCAATGGATTATCGAACCCTGATATGAAGCACAGAGTGTTGCGGAGAGGGATGGTTGATATCAGAATAGGGTAAAGAAGGTTGTAGGGTGGAGGCATGTCTGACCTCCACTTCATAGGAATGGACCTTGAGCTGATTTTGAGTTTGATTCTCTTTCCCCCTGTGAAACCAACAGAAGTCAGATAATTGGCAAAAGAAAGAAATGTAAGCTTTATATCATTTAGAAATAATGAAACTGTATCTGTTAGGCACATGTTATCTGGACTAACATATAGTACATTTGGTCATTAATAGTCAGGGTTCTTTTAGAGCTACTGGGTTTACTACTAGAAAGGAAGCTAAGTGAGATTATTTTTAATAAAGCATAACTAAAGATAGTAGCAAAGGTCATGGACTGAGTGGAGAAAATGAATTATCAAAGATTCTAGAGCTGGCACAAAAGCAGAGCTGAAACTCAAGTCTTCTGCTTTCATACTTCAGTACATTCTGTCATTACCTCAAGAATGCTCAGTGTTGTTGCTGGGTCAGAAGACTGGCAGTTGAAACAATGATCTTTGAATAAGATCAAACTTCATTGTTTCCAAAATACATGATGGAGCCCAATGTTGTTTGTAATTAATATGCATATTGTTCAGGTTAACTTAATGGAAAACTATTTGAATAAAATATTAAATTAATACTTGTACAAAACCCAGAAGGAGCCACACATAAATGTTTATAGTTCTTCTTTCCATTTTAGATAGTGGGGTATTTTTTAGTTAGTTATTAATTTTTGTGTTTCACAGTCCAGTGTTTATCCTATAGAGCCAGTGTATATAAAGCGGGGAGAATTATGAAAACTTTTTAGACATGATCAAACACCTTGAAGGAATGAGTTGCTGGGCCTGTGGGCTCATATTTTCAGGGAACATCATGGTCAATTGGAATAACATAGTCTACAAAGACAATGTTCTATATCCTACTTTGATAAGTAGCAACTGAGATCTTAGAAGCTCATGTGTGACCATTTAAAGTACAACTATTGGTCATTCCCTGTCCAGAAGAAAGAAGAGTGACAAAAGTTGAAGATGCTTGGAAACTGTTAGTCCAGTGGATTAATGAACCTTGTGAACATCAGTCTCTAAAACCAAGACTAGAAAAACTAAATGGTGCCCAGCTACTTACTACCAACTGCTCTGAAGGAGATCAGATTAGAAAGTCCTGGATATAAAGATGGATAAAATGTGGAATAAAACTGAAAATCAGGTAGAGACTGGTGAGACCCCAAGACTATGATCCTTGGTCGCATTTTAGGTCTTGAACTGAACATACCTTGTGGCTCTATCCTTAGCCAAGCAATGGATAGGTATATAAAAAGGTTAACAACACTAATGAGATCATTAATGACCCAAAGGGCAGCACGTACCTAAAAACAATACATCTGTCTTGGAAGAAGTACAGCCAGAATGCTCCTTAGAAGTGAGGATAATGAGTATATTGGACATGTTGTCAGGAGGGAATAGTCCTTGGTAACATGAGGACATGCTTGGTAAACTGGAGAGTCAACAAAAAAGAGGAAGATCTCAAACAAGATGCATTGACACAGTGGCAGCAACAAACGATTCAAACATAACAGCAGTTGTGAGAAAGGTGCATACCTTGACAGTGCTTCATTCTGTTATGCACAGAATCCCTGTGAGTTGGGACCAACAGAAAGGCACCTACCAACAACAACATAAAGCAGTAACGTCCTGATGAGGAACATTTTCCATAGAACAGTCAGCCATGAGAGATCAAAAGGGTAAAACTTGGTCCAAAAACAAAGTTCAGAAGGCAGGAAGCAGCAAGAAATATGATTGAATGGAAATGTGGAACCCAGGGAGGAAATGAGAAGAGGGCTGTTGTTACATTGATGGGATTACAACTAATTTTAAGACACAAAATATAGGTGTTGCTGATGGCATTGATAATATAGTAACCGTGGACATGAATAAAAGTGGTTGGATCTTGAAGCTAGAGCCAATTCTGTTGGAGTTGGGTGCTCTTGAGTCAATTTCAACTTAAAAAGACACCATGTATAGAAATGTCCCTGAGAATTTTTCTTGACTATATTCTTTATAAAAGCAGTTTACTAAGCATTTTTCCTATAGAGATGCTAGGGTGGTTCAGTCAACCTTTCAATAGCCAAATGTTTAACCATGTAGACAAATAACTGTTTCACCACCAGAGATCCTTAGAACCAATAGTATTTATTAGTCAATTGATGGGGTGAGGCAGCATTTTTTAAAGTGTTTCATTGTTAATTATGTGC